CTGAAACAGTCTCATAGTTCCTTGGTCTGAACATTACCTGTTCACCGACAACGATTCACCTCACTTCTTCTAAGTACGTAGCAACGCTCGCTGCCCGCTTCAATCTCACTCCTACTGCAGTTTCTACACCGTACTGATCTCTACCGACTGACTACAAACCGAATACCGCACTATTGAGTTCAACCGGTTTACAGATCTATCAACAGCAGTTAGGCTGTCTACTCTTCGCCGCTGTCACTTGTCGTCCCGATCTAGCTTACGCGGCCAGTCAACTCGCCCAGTTCCTACGCCGACCCGAAGAAGAACATCAACTTGATCTTCTTCGTGCGCTTCAATATTTCATCTCGACACCTGACGTCGGCTTAGTCTACAAGGTCATCGGTTGCAAAACATTATATCTACACGGTTTCGTCGACGCCGATCAAGCTGCTGACTTTACTAATCGACGGTCGCGCACTGGATTCATCTACCGGCTTGAACCTATCGGACCTATTTCTTGGAATTCGATTAAGCAGGAGTTGATTGCTCTCTCCTCTGCTGAAGCTGAGTTTATTGCTATCTGTACAGCAACACGCGAAGGACTCTACCTACAGGAACTATTGGAAGAAGCGCAGTTGACAACAACTACCCAGTTTACCCTACAGTGCGACAATCAAAGTGCAATTCGCATCGCGCATCAGCCTGGTTTCGTCAACAGGACGAAACATATTTCTCTTCGTTACTTTTTTGTCAAGGATGAAGTCGAGAAGGGGAGAATGCGATTGGTCTACTGTTCGACCAACGAAATGGCTGCCGATTTTCTCACGAAGAAGCTAATACGACAGAAGTTCCAGTATTGTAACAAGCTTTGCGGGATCTTCAAGAAGTGACACTATCGAACTTCCAGAAATGAAGGGGAGTGTTGTGATATAATTGATACTTAGCATTTCTGTAAGTTGATTAGTTGTAGATAGTGTCGAATCTTACTGTAGAACATAAGTCCGTAGGATGACGTCAGCAAATAGCGCTCGTCATACGACAGTCGTTTCAGTCACGCGAACAGTCGCATCTCTTCGTTATCATCTAGGGCGCGTAGCGCGATAGTGACGAACAGGTACATTAGCGAATAGGTACTTTTCCTATAACTATAAATCCGTGTTAGGTCTTTTTTCATAATTAACTTTGATTACTCACAAGTTCACATACTCGGGTTATTCAACCGTTGACTATTATCCTTTACAAAACTTCCGCTGTTTTACTAGTCTACCATTCCAGTAAAGATCCTGGACCAACACTTGAGGATTTCCAAAAGTGTTCGTGTTTGCAGTTTTATACTTAGTCTTCTACAACATTGGACAAGTTATTTCACTCTCGACACTTGTTGTCTTTCGATTGCATTTTACCACTTGTATTGATTCTTCTGCCCGTCTTTGCACTGCGATGCGAATGGCAGCTGACGCGGTTTTCTTGCTCGCTATTTGCAGCTGAGCGGACCTTGGTAATAAAGGACCATACTGCTTGAAGGCAAGAAAAAGGAGCAGGGTGTTATGTAAAATGCAAACCCAGAAAAAGCGGGTACTCTAAAAAATGCAGCATATCATAAGCTATCCCCCGCATATGCCACCCAATGGCTGACTATTTTGGCGGGTCTTATATGTTAGAAACTAAAATTTAACAAGTGTTGAATAGAGAGAGAGAACAAGGGTATATACCTAAGAGGGTTGTACCCTCTAAGAGGTGACCCTATACAGTCTATACAAATATATGTTATACATATGTTTGACACACCCCCTAGACTGCATAGGGGCAAATCCAGAACAAGCAGCTCAGGGCGGCACTACTAGTCCAGCCACTAAAACAAGGGTCTAAAGACCAGTCAAAATGGGGTACAGGCAAGACAAGAACAAGACCAGGGCGGCACTACTAGTCCAGCCACTGGAAGAGGACACAAGTCCAGTCTGAGTACATATATATAGATATATATAGGACAGTAGAAAGTCAAGGTCCTAGCAAGTGAGAGGCTACAGGAACTAGACCGAGCTGTACACAGTGCCGCTGATGATCTTTAGGCGCAAGCGCCTTCGTAAAGATATCAGCTGTGTTGGCACCAGAGGCCAAGTGAACTACGCGGGCCTGGCGGCGCTGCTGTAGCTCGCGCAGGAGGAAGTACCGCAGCTGGATGTGCTTCGCTCTGCCCTCAAGTCGAGGCTCCTGACACAGGAGTATCATGGCCCTGTTGTCAGCGTACAGGACCGGGGCAGAGCTAGGCCGCTCACCTAAGTCTGTGAGCAAGAAGGTCAGCCAGCGGAGCTCCTGTGCCGCCATGGCACCAGCGTAGATCTCAGCCTCACAGCTCGACTGAGCAACAGACGACGAGCGAGTGGATCTCCAAGAGATAGCACCCGAACCAAGGCTGAAACAGTAGCCCTGCGACGACCTGAGCCTCTAAGAGTCGTCTGCCCAAGAAGCGTCTGTGTGCCCAGTGAGGACCACTGGTCTGTGTCCTCCTAACACTAACCCCATGCCTGATGTACTTGCTAGATATCGCAAAACCCTCTTAGCGGCCGACCAGTGCTGTGGTCGGTGTCTGCCAGTGGCCACAAAGCGAGCCAGGATGCTGAGAGGGTATGCGAGATCTGGGCGAGTGCAGGTCATCAGGTACATGAGGCAACCCACCAGCTCTGCGTAGGGGCCGCTGGGCTCTACTGGCTCCTCAGGAACAGGAGCGGAAAGCCCGTGGTCTACAGGTAGAGGTGTGGGCTGTGCAGAGGAGAACTGAAGAATGAACCTCTGAAGGACCTGACGCACCAAGTGTGACTAAGTCAGAGTGATGGTGCGTTCTGCTCTGTCCCTAGAGATCTGCAAGCCAAGGTAGCGACGCAGCTCTCTAAGGTCAGTGCAGGTGTGTCTCTTCAGCAGCTCGGCCTTCACAAAGGCCAGTGCGTCCCTGTCAGCAGTGGCAAAGATCAGGTCGTCTACGTAGAGAAGGATGTAGAACGGAGTCTGGCCGGAACGCACAAACAGCGAGGGGTCAGCGGACGACGGAAAGAACTGCAGGTCTGCTAACGTGGCCCGCAGCGTGTCGTGCCACTCGCGCGGAGCCTGACGCAGGCCGTAGACCGGGCGCCTGAGAAGCCACTGGGTCCAAGGGGGGAAGGTACCAAAGAACCCCTGCGGTCGGCGTAGGTAGACCTGCTCGTGTAGGCTGCCCTGAAGGAAAGCAGTAGAGAAGTCGAGAGAGTGAAGCTCGTAGTCGCGCTGTGCTGCTACGTGTAGCAGTGCCCGAAGAGTAGTCATCTTCGGGGTCGGGGCGAAGGTCTGGAAGAAGTCCACCCCCTCGTGCTGACTGAAGCCTCTAGCGACATAGCGCGCCTTGAAGACAGGCGGCTCTCCAGGCGGGCGCTTCACCTTGAAGAGCCACCGGCCATCTACTACGTTCACCCCAGGTGGGGGAACTGCGTCGACGTAGGTGCCGGTGGACCTCCAGGATGCCATCTCCTGCTCCATGGTAGCTATCCACTGAGAGGCCCAAGGTCTCGAGGTGGCCTCAGCGTAGGTGCGAGGGGTCGGGATGTCGAAGGCGTCTGGGTCACCCTCAGGGACTAACAGCATGGAGCAGAAATGGGGAGCAGCCTCGGAAAGGAAAGCAAGCTCGTACTGCCTGTCCTCTAGGACGTCACTGCCAAGGGCAGGAGCACCCCCGACGGACGGAGGACGGGCAGGGTCAGAGACCAAAGCGGTAGCGTAGTCAAGGCGGCGGGTGGAGGCGAAGTCAGCGACAGCAGCGACAAGCGCGTCAAGGCGCGAGACAGGAACAGCGGGGTCGGTAACGAGGGAGGCAAGAACCCGAGGGACAAGGGGACGAGCGGCACGGAGGTAGTCCGAGAACGGAGGAGGCGCAACAGCAAGCGACGAGGGAGGAGGGGAGGGAAGGAGGGGAGGACGAGACGAGTGGGAACGGAGCAACATAGGGTGAGAGCGCAGGGCAGGAGAGGCGGGAGGGGCACGTGAGGGACGGCAGGACCAAACGTGGGACGGAGGGGTAGGGTCAGGAGACAGCAGAGGGGACACAACAGGAGAACGAGGAGGGAGACGGGCCGGAGACGAGTCCGGCGGCGGGAAAACAGGACCGTAGACCAGAAGGTCAGCAGGCGGCGGGGGAGACACCGGCGAGTGGTCCGGAGAGGGAAGGCCGAGCAGGCGGAGAGCGGAGACCGGCGGTGACGGCGGCTGTGAGCCGGGGCGAAGGGGCCAGGCAGGTGCGGTGGGGCCAGGCAGGTGCTGGCGGGGCCAGGCAGGCGCGACGGGGCCAGGCAGGCGCGGCTGGGACCAGGCAGGCACGGTGGGGCCAGGAGGCGTGGCAGGGCCAGGCAGGCGCGGCAGGGCTAGGCAGCGCGGCTGGGGCTAGGCAGGCGCGACGAGGCCAGGCAGGCGCGGCGGGGCCAGGCAGGCGCGGCGGGGCCAGGAAGGCGCGGCGGGGCCAGGCAGGCGCGGCGGGGCCAGGCGGGCGCGACGGGGCCAGGCAGGCGCGGCGGGGCCAGGCAGGGGCGGCGGAGCCAGGCAGGCGCAGCGGGGCTAGGGAGCGCGGTGGGTGCTAGGAGGCACGAGGGGCCCTGGAGGGGCGCGACGGGCTAGGAGGCGATAAAGGGGCCCAGGAGGGGCGCGACGGGCTAGGAGGCGCGGCAGGGGCCCAGGAGGGGCGCGACGGGCTAGGAGGCGCTATAGGAGCCCAGGAGGGGCGCGACAAGGCCTAGGAGGCGCGGCAGGGGCCCAGGAGGGGCGCGACTGGGCCTAGGTGGGGGCGGCGCGACGGGGCCTAGGTGAACGCGGGACGGGGCCTAGGAGGCCCGGGCGGAAGCGGTAGGTGGGAGGGGTCGAACCTACGGATGATACCATGTTAGAAACTAAAATTTAACAACTAAAATTTAACAAGGGTATATACCTAAGAGTGTTGTACCCTCTAAGAGGTGACCCTATACAAATATAGGGTCACAACCATAGGATAACATATAGGGTGACCCTTAACCCTCTTAGGTGTCCCACATCGGTATCACAACCAGCCCTTCCTGGGCTTGGACAGCATGCAGGTGGGCAGGGGTGTCCCACAGAGCTTGGGGTTGCCGGGGCGGAAGCAGGAGAGGGGCAGGTCGGAGAGGGGCTGGGGGATAGAGCCAGAGAGGGCGTTGCCAGCCAGCTGTACGTACAGGGAGGGGGCTGCCGCCCGCAGCATCGCAGGGATGGCTCCTGACAGCCCGTTCCACGACAGGTCCAGGGCTTGCAGGGCCTTCAGCGATGCCACGCCTGCAGGGATGCTGCCGCTCATGCGGTTGCGCGCCGCTACCAACGACTGCAGCGCCGTGAAGCGCGATAGGGACGAGGGGAGGGGGCCGGAGAGCTGGTTGCTGGAGACATTGAGGGAGAGGAGGGAGGAGGTGCAGGGGGAGGAGGGGGAGAGAAGGGAGGAGAGGGGGCCGGAGAAGGTGTTGGAGGAGAGGAGCAGAGTGGCGAGGCGCTGCTGGCCCCTGCACAAGGCAGGCAGGGAGCCCTTGAGCTTGTTGCGAGAGAGGTCCAGGTGAGTGAGCGTGGGAGCGAGGGTGAGAGATGGGGGCAGCGAGCCCGACAGCAGGTTGCTGCGCAGGGAGAGGTGCGCGAGGGAGGAGAGCGAGGAGGCGAGGTGGGGGGGAATGGAGCCAGAGAGGAGATTGTAGGAGAGGTCCAAGTGGGAGAGAGGGAGAAGGGATGGATTCTTGCTTCTCCCCTGGAGAGAGGGTGGGATGGGGCTGGAGAGCTGGTTATGGGAGAGGTCGAGCAGGGCGAGGCAGGGGGAGAAGACAGAATCGGGGATGCTCCCACTCAGCGCATTGTGGCCCAGCCGAACCTCGGCACCGCTCTGCACCGCACTGCATCCACCTGAACCTTGTGCTGGGAACGGGAGGTGCTTTTGCGCAATGGAGCTTTTGAAAGCGTTGTAGGAGAGGTCGAGATAGGTGAGGCTCGTGACCCCGCTGCTCTCAGCCAGAGCAGGCAGCCTCCCGGTGATGGCATTGTGAGACGCATCCAAGCTGCTCAAGCTCTCAGCCCACAGTAGGTGTGAGGCGTTGATCATGGTGAGCCTGTTCCAGCTCAAATTCAGGTGCTCCATCCAGCGGTGCACGGGGGGGAGGTCCCCGGTGAGCTGGTTGTGGGAGAGGTCCAGCTCCTTAAGCACGCACGACATCACCTTTGCAGGGATGGTCCCTGAGATCTGGTTGTGCGCCATGCGCAGCACATGCATGTGTGTGGTGTGCATGTTGCTGGCGTTGCTGAGAAGGTCGTCCAGCGCGCCGCTGATGCGGTTGTGGGAAAGGTCCGTGAGGACTGCATTCCAGACTGGGCTGCCGGGGCTGCACGTGAGGTTGTTGTGCGACGCGTTCAGCTGGTAAGAGTTCACTAGGAAGTAGCTGTTTCTGCGGAGAGGGGCGAGCACGGCCGCATCCCCCGAGAGCTGGTTGCTGCTGACGTCCAGCGAGGTGAGCAGAGGGAACACGCCGCTGAGACCCCACATGACAGGCGCACCAGAGCCAGAAAGGGCAGTAGCAGCGTCGGCCGCAGCATTGGCAGCAGCATCCACAGCAGCATCAGCGGCGGGGTGGAAGGCAGCAGCGAGTGCAGTGAGGTCTCCCTGCAGGGCGTTCCCCTGCAGCTGCAGGTCTCTGAGCATCCACAGCGCGCCAAGCTGCCTTGGAATGCTGCCCTGCAGGCGGTTGTGGTCCAGAGCCAGGCGCGTGAGCGAGGAGAGAGCGCCGATGCTGGCTGCAATGGACCCCGTCAGCTGGTTGCCCCCCATGTCCACCGACTCCAAGGAGGGCGACAGGGCCGCTGCAGGGGTGCTGCTGGGGAGCACGTCGCCCGTGAGGCTGTTGCCGCGCAGGGTGAGTTCTGTGAGCACGGGCAAGGCGTAGAGGGCGGGGGGGATGGCGCCGGAGAGGTGGCGGTTGGAGGCGAGGTCGAGGGAGACGAGGTGGGAGAGGAGGGAGAGGGAGGCGGGGAGGGAGCCGGAGAGAGTGTGGTGGGAGATGCGCAGCGAGGTCAGCCGGGTCAGCTCCCCCAACGCCAACGACAGCCACCCGCTCACACCATTCCCGCCAGGCAAGCCCTTGAGGAAGAACTGCACAGACGGAGGGGGGGGCGGGGGCTCTGATGTGCAGATAACGTGATGGAACTGGCCGAAGTTGCAGTCTGGCGAATCGGGCACGAAGTTGGCGTGCAGCGTGACGGTTTGGTCGCCCAGCAGGTGCAGGGTGTCCACGTGGCCGTCTGCCATGCACCCCACGCCGTACCACGCACATGCACTGCTGCTGCCCACACCCCAACTGCTCAATAGCTCCGCCCACGTGCTGTTTCCGCCATCCACGACTGCTCCCCCCTCTGCTCCCCCCTCCGCTGCCCCCCCTGTGGCCCCCCCTGCGCCCCCCAGGAGCGCATCTCGCACGGCCAGCAGCGCAGCCGTCTCGGCAGCAGAGGCTTCCACGCCAGGCGACGGCGCAGGCAGGTAACCCGGGCCCACGGCACGCCCCATAGACTCACTGTTGTTGTTCACGCGCACGCTCTCCCAGACCTCCTGATCTTCATAATGGCTGCGTTCTGCAGGCAGAAAAGGAAAGTGCAGATTACATCAGAGCACCTTCCGAAAGCCTGATTTTTTGCTTCGGATCGAGGGTCAGCCCGCAAAATTTCGTCCAAACCTGGCACAAGGTACCCAAACCTAGTTACATCAAAATGCCTGCAGAACAGGTCCATGTACAGATGACATCTACGTCAGGGAAACACCCTCCTCGCTTCCCTCCCTGGCAAATTTGACGCAAAGGTGACGCAATGTTGACGTTCGCTAAATCGAGGAGTTCACCTTGCGTGTGGCGTTACATCAGCCTCAATTTGGCTCCTCTCTCCTTTCGCTCGCGCTTTCCACAGTTAGGCGCGTTGCTTCCAAGCGAGGTTTGGAAAGTGCACCTGGTTTGAGTGGTAACCAGTGCTCTCGAAGTCGCTTGAGGAGCTTCCTCAATGTCGACGTCGACGTCGACGTCAAATGCCTGTAGAACACAGCCAATGTCTGCTCGTTGCCGCTAGTTGATTCTCACTGGCTCGCTCGGTGAACAGCGGTCCCGACAGCTGGTTGAATCGCAAGTCCGCACGGAGCTGCGAGCCGAAAAACGCCTCCGGAATGCTGCCCGAGAAGTTGTTGTGCGAGAGGTCCAAGCTCGCGTCTTGCATCACGGAGAAAGCTTTCAGGCTGCCCATGAGGCTGTTGCCGCTGAGGTTGAGGAAGACGCGGTTGTTGCCACCCATGGCAACCCTTTGCCCCGTGCGCTGGTCCTCCACTACGAACAGGTCGGCGGGAATGCTGCCGTCCAGGCGGTTCTCCCCCAGGTCCAGGTGCGTCAGCGCCGTCATTTCCGCCAGCGCGGCGGGGATGGCGCCGGACAGGCTGTTGCCGCGCAGGGAGAGGACCTCGATGCTCCGCGAGTACGCCCCCGCGTCCGCTGGGAGCTCCCCCGTGAGGTTGTTGCCCTGCAGGCGCACCTCGCGCAACGCAGGCGCGCGGAGAAGCGCGCGCGGGAGCTCCCCCCAGAGCGCGTTCCCGGCGAGGAGAACAGCCTCCAGCGACGGGGAGTACGCGCCGGGGCCGTCGGGAAGCGACCCCGAAAGGACGTCGCCGCCATTCGCGGTCAGGTCTACGCGGCGCAGCGCGGGCAGGAGGAAGAGGCCGGGCGGGATGGGGCCGGAGAAGTCGTTCTCGGGCATGTCGAGTTCCGTCAGCTTTTGGAGGCGCGTGACGGAATCCGGCAACTCGCCAGCGAGGCAGGAGTTGCGGAAGACCAGCGAAGAGAGCTCCGCCAGTTCCCCGATGGCAGGCGATAGCGCGCCGGGCGGGCAGCTCCCCCCGCCCCATTCAAGTCCGGGAAAGTTGCTATCGGAGATGATGCGCGTGATGCGGCCGGCGGCCGTGCACTCGTACGGGCACCAGAAGCCGCAATTCGAGGGCCGGGGCGCGATGCAGCAGTAGGTGACGTTGCCGTGCGCGTCGAAGATCTGGTCCGACGGAATGCTGTCGAACCGCTGGGAGGGCAGCCCGTCCGGCAGCGCCGCCAACACCGCGCGCATGGCGTCCCTGTCGCTGTCCGCTATGGGCGTCACGCATCCCACGGGGCCTCGCGGCGATGTGATGGCGCGCGATGGGCGGAGGAGGGCGACGACGGTGAGGAGCGAGAGGAGGGGGAGGAGGGGGAATACGGAGGGGAGGGAGCGAGGGAACAACGCCATGGCTGGGAGTAGAGTGGGCAGTGAGGGTTAGTAGCGACACCCGAGAAGTGCCGCATGTATGACTAGTACCAACGCCGTGCGCCTTTGTACATAATTTCAGGGCGAGATAGGAGGGCAGTCGGAGTGAGAAGTAGTAGGCCGCTGAATACCGTTGGCTCTGCTGGCAGGCTGCGGCGAGCTTTGAGGGAGTGGGAAGCGCTGGTGGATGCAGATCGGCGGAGGGTGCATTGGGGATGTGGGGAGCAATCCTACCTGAGGCAGGGGTCTACTGTGGTGTGCGCTTGCAACCATAGCGGCTGCTGCAAGGGCTGCGAGCTGACAGCCGCGAAGAATAGCAGGCGCGAGGAGGTGCTTTGGCAGGGAGTGCTCGTTCGTTGCGCGCCGAGGGCAGCTAGACGATGGCGAGCAGGAGGCAAGTTGTACTGTGTGCACTGACAGAGGAAGTCGACGACAGAGAATCTGTGATGGGGGGAAGTGGGTTACATGAGACAGGGGGGAAGAAGCAAGACTTGAGCGGAAGTGGTGGAAATGTGGGAGCCTGGTGGGGAAGGTCGAGGTGGAGAGGGAGATGGTGGTTACAGGGTGTGAAATGGAACGATTTGAAAGTGAAACACTTCGGTAAGATGACCCTAGATGCTGAAGCCTTGTTCTTGAGTCGCGTCATCCGTGAATGTCATGAAATTTGGCCGAACCTAGCTCTCGGGCAAAAGTTGTCTGACATTTGTGGATGACACCACACAAGAAAATGTCAATGAGTCTGCGTCGGTTTCGTCGAGGCAATTTGCCGCAGGGGTGATTTCGGTGCACAAGGGTCGAAATGTTTTAAAGCTCCCATCTCATAACTACTAGAGTTTAAAGCCGTTAACCTAAATTGCAGAAAATGCTTTTCGAGTTTGTTAATCTTGAAACCCCCCGACTGGTAACCCAGTTCCCCAAAGCGAGAGCAAAAACCAGAGTCGCGCACCAAATGTAAGGAATTTCCATTCCTTACTGCTTCGTACGCTAGCGCGTACACCCGAACTCCTCGACTCGTCACGTTCTGCCTCATTTATCGGCCCAACCCTGTCCCTAGTCGCGTCCAGCACTGTCGCCACATTGCTGAACCTACCCACGTTTCGAGGTTATCGCCCTAGCATGCCAACCCCTGTATAACCTCGGTCCTTCATTGCAATAGCGACTTTGTACTCTCACGTTATAGTACATTCACACTTCCTATATCATAACACCAAAACGACGGGAAACAGTTGATAGTCTTGTGCCACCCCCAGCCGATTCCGCCCCTGCCCCCGTCACACTGTGCATTTGAGGGGAAAGAAACTTGAAACGTCCACCCATACATTTTGGGACTCTCGAGGTGCAGCGAAAGCACCACGCACAGCAAAGGAGAGTTTGTTTTAGAGTGTGGTACATCTCGGATCTAGTGTGGTTCGAGGTTTGAACTCGCAGAAAGATCTCATTGAGCGCACTTGATCGTTTTGAAAACAGTGAAAACGTTTAATACCGCATAAAAAAATTGAACTTCCGTTTGAAACTTTCGCTTGATCTAAGGTGTACCACCCCCTGAGATGTACAACGGGAGTTGCCTCTCTCAGTCTAAACTATCACGGGACTAGGTAGCTAGGAAGCCATGAAATGGCGTGAGGGTTTAGCTAGAAGAAAGTTGACGAGAGAAAAGAGGGGGAGAATAAAAGAGACAGGGATACAAGGAGGGGTGTTGTATCCTCTACAGTAAGTTTCAGTAACGCCTACCAAGCCTATATATCATATAACATATATAATTTAACACACCCCCTAGGCTTGGTAGTAGAAGAACCCACACACACAGGACACTAAGTCACACCCACCCCCTAATTCTGGCACCCCCATACTCAACCACAGCGACAGCTACACTAGCTCGGTCGACCCCACAGTGCGTGAGGCGGCGACATCGACCGCAAGGGCTGCGGCGGCGACGACGGCAGCGGCGGCAGTGTCGACAGCGGCGGCAGCGGCAGCATGCGGCTGCGTGGCCCCAACGCAAGCGGCGACAGCGGCGGCTTCGACAACAGCGGTGGCGGCGGCGGCGCCCGCACCTCTTGGTGGCGTGGCCAGGCCCCGCGACGGTGGGACGGCCGGCGGGAGTCAGCCGCGTCTGCGGCGAGGAAGAGGACGCAGGGGAAGGGGGGGCAGGGCATGGTCCAGCCTCACGCCCGTGGCTGGCATGCGGGCGGCAGGTCCGGTGGCGCCACAGATGTTGCGCGGTCGGCTGCCGCACGACGACGACGCCACCGCAGCATTACGACACCGCCACAGCGCGGTGACGATGCCACGGCGGGACATCGACACTGCAACGGGAGCACGACGTCGTCGCAGCGGTGTAGCGTCGACGCCACGCGTCGGGGCTGCGACGGCAGCACCACGACGCAGCAACGACTGCTCGGCATGGCCGCGACGGCCGCCCGGCAGGGACGAACGACGAACGAGTATGCGGCAGAAGCGTGGGGAGCAGGCCCGGGAAGGGCGACCTGCTCTGATACCATGTTACGAGAATAGGTAGCTAGGAAGCCATGAAATGGCATGAGTGTTTAGCTAGAAGAAAGCTGACGAGAAAAAAGAGGGGGAGAATAGAAAAGAGAGGGATACAAGGAGGGGTGTTGTACCCTCTACAGTAAGTTTCAGTAACGCCTACCAAGCGTACAATTATGTAACATATATAAATTAACATGAATGCCAACTTGTCTGGCGATACTTTGGCGAGTTGTGCAACTCTGCCAGGTTGTGCAACCCAGAGATAATGTACGTGTTCATCTCTCTTCCCCCTCCCCGGCCACCCTTTGCCCCAAGCGTGTTAGGAGCTAAGGAGCTAGGTAGGTAGCGATGAGAATAGTCTAGAGGTTTAGCTAAGGGGGAGAGTTACGAGAGAAAAGATGGCCAACTAGGAAGAGAAAGGGATACAAGAATGGGGGGTTGTCCCCTCTACAATAGGATCCGGTAATTGTAGCACACCTGTCAAGCCTACAAAAACATATTATATAAAATATAATGTGACACACCCCCTAGGCTTGGTAGTTGCAAGCCCACCCTGTGAGAGTACGACCCCGTTCCATTCCTTTCTCGTTTCCATTTCATTCCTCTTTCCATCTTGATCCATTTGGTTTTTATCTCATTCCATTTGGATTCCTATTTCCCCTTTTCCATAAACCTTTGGTCTATCCTCTTATTATCATTGTATCACCGACCAGGCTCGGAATGTACTGGTGCGCTATATCTAGCGTAATCCTGCCGTAATCCCTTAAAGCAAATAGCCTCACGTGGCTATACGCAGAGTGATAAACCTAGTTACCTGATGTACTCTGGAAGTATAAAAGCACCTTGTACTGATCGATAGTGCAACCTTTCCTCGAGACATTCGATCCTGTGACACTTGGTAATCAGAGCTTTTCTCATTCGGCCGCGCTCAGCTAAGAAGCAGCAGTGGGACTCCTGCCTCGAAAAAGCGCAGAGGGCGACCAATTCGACGCCGATTCAGGTAAGCACCAGCTCCGTGTTTTTTCGAATTACCCCCTCCGCGCGTGTTTTGAACAGGATGGCGAACTTCGACAACGCCGAAGTTACCCAGCAGCTCTTTGCACGCATCGCCGCCCTACAGGAGGAGATGTGAGCCGAGCGCGAAGCTTGGCGAAACGAGTTCGAGCGAGTAACTCGACTCGCCGGCGCGCAACACGAAACGACAACGGCGACGATGCAGCAGTCGCAGCAGTTTCTCGAGGCTCCGAAACCACGCCCACCTGAGCCATTCGATCCGAGCGATCGAAACTCCGACGTCCACAGATGGATCGCCGGCATGGAGATCTACTTTGCAGCCGTCGGATAAAGCTCGACAGTCTGGGACGGACAACGCGTACGACTCGCGGCGACACTGATGCGAAGGCCGGCACTCGAGTGGATTGGCGGCAACAGTACCTTCATCCACGGTGAAGCCACGTGGCAGCAGTTCCGCGCCGACCTGCTGAAACGATTCGAGCCGATAAATTCGGGTTTCCTTGCCCGGGAAAAAATTCATCGCCATCGACAGTTCGGGAGTGTAGCGCAGTACACGCAGCAGATGGAGGAATTTTATGACCGCATTCCTGACCTGACCGAAGCGGAAAAAGTACAATCGTACCTCGCCGGGGAGAAGACCGAAGTCAAACGACAAGTGGCAGCGACAAAATACGCGAGCTACAGTGACGTCGTATCGGCCGCGGAACGCTTCGATATGGTCAACGCCGGAACACAACGGACGCACGTCGGCAGTACGCGACAGGGCGACCGCTCGGCTCACACCACGTTTGCCGACCCGATGGAAGTCGACAGGTTCGAAGGGCGGCCACGTCTGAAAAACACCAACTACACGTGGGATTTTTGGATCATCGAATCTTCGACTGCAACAAAATGAAAGCCGCACGCACTGAGTATCGGGCACGCAATAGTAGCGGAAATCCTTCGGCGAATCAGAAGCCAAAAAATGGAGCTCGCCAGTGATTGCAGATCTAGAAGGCGAAAAAGAAAAGATCCGAAAAAGGCCGTGGACTTCCGGAAAAATCAACTTCGACGCAGCTGATTCGACGCGAGCATGAGAAAAAGATGGGGAAAAA